TATTATTTTTATTACGGACAGTTGATTCTTTGTTTCAATGTCTTCTTGAAAAAATACCTTCGTTCTTTCTTTTAATATTGTTTTTTATTGTTTCGATCAATTATTATTATTATTATTATTATTTATTAACATTGTTCTTTGCCGTTCTTCAAGGGTTTTTTTTGTCGTTGCTCCTTGTATATCTCCATTTTTTTTTAATATTATTATTATGGCTCAGCGTTGGCTGTCATCTTGATTCAAAAACCTACTTTTCATTTTACATCTCATTTTTCTTCTAAAATATTTTTATTATTAATACCATTTAAAGTTGTCTTCTTCTTGGCTACCATCGTCTTCTTTACTTCTTCCCCTTTTCTTCTGCGAATTTTTTCTTTTTTTTTAAACATTTTTTACAAAAATTTTTGAATTTCAAAATGAACACAAATCCTCATTTTTAAAAAGGGTCCCGACCAGAGAAAAAGGTCAGAAATGAAATCATTTTATTTTCCAACCTGAGCTGCGGAAAAAAAATGAAAGAAAAACAACAACACACATATTTTACATAGATAAAGCCCTTCGTAAGGTGCGGACTGTACTCGTAAAAACATTTTTTGTGTGTTTCTTTAAGGAATGGGCTTCCAGGAATCCCTTCAAATAGTCTACTGGCATCTTTTCAAATCAATTCGAGGACACCAACTACAACTAGAATTATTGATGTTCTCATGTGCCATATTTTTGACATTAAGTTTTCAAAGTCTTTGTATTTTGATAGTTTTTGAAGATCTTCAAAGATACACTGCAGTCTGCATGGACTGCCTTATCAATATATTGGTACTATTTGTCTTTGCGCTCTCCAAACACGATGTCTGGGCGATTAGCTTTAATTGTTCTGTCTGTGTGCATTGTGAAGTCCCATAAAATTGTTGCAGATTCAGTAACCGGTCTGAGTGGTAATCATACCTATTTCTTGTAGTTTCCTTTCCGTAAGTGTTGCAGGTTTTCCATTGCATATATTGGCTCAATCTGTCATGCCGGGTTTTATATTCAGTGGATCCCAATACCGCGCAACTTGATACAAGATGGTTAATTGTTTCTAGATATTTATCACAGTATCTTCATTTTGGACTAACTCAGTTTTCTGTATGTGTGATCGATCACTTCTAGTTAGCAAGCATTGGTCATGTGCAGCGTGAATAAAACCTTAGCTTTCAACTTTCGTTTATGCACTAAGTTACCAATGATGGGTACGGGGGTTTGTCTACATCAACTTGTTTGCTACGGCTAGAATATTGACCGTGAAGCTATTTATCTTGCCATCGTTTCTGTATTTGACTTTGCATGCATTTTAAGTATTTTGCATCTTCAGTCGGTATATTGTGCTTTACTTGTATTTCTTTACCAATTTGAAACTGCATTTTAACGTCTTAGCTTTCTTTATTATTGAATAAAGTCGCGTACTACTTTCATGTTCTTTGACACATAGCCTCCCCGAGACTTCTATAGTTTCCTAGTGGCTTTGAAGGTCAATTGTAGATTCATAAGGCAGTTCTAGTTGAACTAATCCTCGGCCTCCTTCGGATCTGGGGACATACAAACAGCCGACACACAGACATCAGCTTTGTGATGATGCGTACAGTGACAGATGAGAAGCTTTCTCCTTTTGTCGTCCATTTGCTTAATGTCAACCAGGGTCCAATTAGGCATGCTGAAACTGTATTTCACAACAAGACAGGCCAAGGTGTTTATGGCTGATATTCTGGTTTTTTTTTTTAATTCAGCTCGGTAATCAGTACTAGATGCATACGCCTGTAGTGTTCCTTTCATAACTTGTCCATTTGAGCATGCTGTATTTGATCTCCTTCGCTAATTCCTAGGTACTTAAGGATTCTTCTTGCTTCAGTTCCCTAATCTTTGTGACAAAATCTAAATCTATTGAATGTGTTTCTGTAATTGTCACTTTAATGAATGTTATTTTTGCACACTTATATTTAAAATTAAAAATGCTGGATGCATTGATTGAAATTTTTTTTTCTTGTTCCTGTCAATTGCCAATTAAAAGCAAGTGAACAAAGAAAAAAGAGCATCAGACAAGGCACATAGTTTCATATATGTCTTGGACAAACATAAGGTAAATTTATTTTTCTATTTTTCTTTTCCCCTTTTAAATCATGTTTAAATCCTATGGACTGAAATCCCAAGTTTCTATGAAAACTAAAACATTGAACAATTGAGTAAAAGACTCATTGAAATTTTAGGAAGAGGTTGGAGATCATGTAAAATGTGATAGAGTAGGTGACAGTTTTATTATTATTATTACAGAGGAAAACAACGCATTGTCCATCATCGCCGTCTTCTTAGTAAATTCTTCGTGATTCTCCTGGACAATATCTTTTCAGATGAAGAATCACATGAAGGAACAGAAATTATTATTAGAACGATATTGAGAATGACATTGACCGAACTTCTTCAGTTGGCTACTTTCGAAGAAAATCTTCTAAACATCTCCTTTTTTTTCTTCAGAATTATTAAATTATTATTATTATTATTATTATTGTTGTTGTTGTTGTTGTTGTTGAAAATTTTCGTCGCAGGACGAATTTTATCAAGGGGTCCAGAGGAAAATAACATCTCCTTTTCTTCAAGCATTATTATTATTATTGTTGTTTTGTTGTTAACTTTCTTATAATTTCTTCTTGGCTACCTTCGTAGAAAATTTCTCCTTTTCTTCTCATTATTATTATTATTATTATTATTATTATTATTATTCATGGTTTTTTTCTTGGATACCTTTGTCCTCTCCTCTCCTTTTTCTTCTCATTATTTTTATTATTATTATTATTTTTATTTTCTTTGAATTCTGGTGTTTACATATTTCTTTGCGGGTCCCGCCCAGGGACCTAAAGTTAGAAATGGCGTCATGACACTTTCCACTGACAAAAAAAATGAAAAAAAAAAAAAAAAATTATTACATAGATAAAGCCCTTCGTAAGGTGTGGGCTGTACTTGTCAGAACAATTTTCTGTATCTCCTTGAGGCATGGACTTCCAGGAATCCCTTCAATTAGTCTACTGCAATCTTTTTCCAACCAGTCCTAGGGCTCCAACTACAACAGGGATTGTTGATGTTCCCATATGCCACATTTTTGAGATTTCTATTTCAAGGTCCTTGTATTTTGACAGCTTTTTGAATATCTTCAAAGATACATTGCAGTCAGCAGGGACTGCCATATCAATAAGGAGGCATTTTTTTTTTTGTTTGTGGTCTTTAATAACAATATCTGGGTGGTTGGCTTTGATTGTTCTGTCAGTGTGTATTGTGTAGTCCCATAGAATTGTAACAGGTCCTATCTCCGTAACCGGGTCTGGGTGGTGTTCATACCAGTTTCTTTCAGTTTTCTTCCTGTAGAAGTTATTATTGTCCTGCTTCGCCATCTTTTTCCTGGCTACCTTAGTCTTCTCCTTCGACGTTGCCTTTTTCTTCTATTATTCTTGTTGTTTTTGTCGTCGTCCTTCTTCTCCTTCTACATCTCTTTACTTCCTCCTCTAATTCTCTAGTCTTTCCTATTTTTCTCCTTCTTCATCATTTTCTTTTTCTAATTATTATCATTATTCGTAGTAGTATTTGTAGTATTTATAGTAGTAGTAGTAGTAGTAATTGAGTTTCTGTTCTTATCAATTTTTAAGTCATAATTATTTTATTCCCGGAAACAATGATAAGATTTCTTTTTATTCTGCAATTTTTCCGATATTTCGTACATCACCCTGTCTGTGTCTAGACCTTTTGCGTCCATTGTTAAATCATTTATATCTTTATTTTCATAATTTCTTCGGCTGTCTTTTCGAAAATCTACACGACTCGCTTGGCAGTTGCAGCAGAGGCGACGTGATAATGATACAAACACTATTACATTTATTCCCCATTATTCGATCAACGGCCGCATTGTTCACCTGAGTGGTTGAATCGGAGATAATATATTTTACCAGCAGACATGACTTCGGCCATAAACATAAAACATACATCGGTACATTTCGCTTCGCTGGAATAAAAAAAAAAGTGACCACTTATTTGCATTGTTGCCATATCAGTATTTGTCAAATTTTTCAATAAAATGAGAATGTCGTTTCACGGCCTCCAGACGTGTGCAATCGAGAATGTCCACTTGACGAAATTCTGCGATGAACAAGCAAAGCCCTCTGGTTACAGTATGATATAACTTTTTTGCCCAATATTTCCTTGTTAAAACTGTTTTCGCCACTGAATTTTACGTAATCTCTCAAATAAAAATTATTCCGTGACAAGATGACTTGTAGTTTTCTATAACGCCAACACATCGGCCTAACATCAGTTCTAATGGACACCAGCACGCCAGTCTAAAACATAAACACATCTTAGAACTTTCATTATAAATAGTAAGGGCTAAGCTCTTCCAATATATATCATCATGCAATCAGCAACAAACGTTATTCGAGAAGTCGTTATGTTGATTTGGCTCTGGTAGGCATGAAACCATATTTTCTTCCTGTAGCTATGGTGTAAATAATAGAGTAGACTGTTGTCTCTAGACTTAGGTGGTAACCAAATAAGGAAAAGGATTACACTGAATATAAAACATGTGCTGGTTGTGAGATGGTTAACAGATCGGAAGGAGAAATTGGAGAGTCGGGTTCGAATTCTAGTCGGTTTCGTAACTCACTCACGCGTAAATAATTGCCATTGGCAAAGGTATGTATCCATCTCTTCTATGCCCCTTAGCTGTGGGTTAAATAGGACAGGCTTCTGCATATAGCCTTGGCTGCTAACAAATCTATTTCGGAAAGAGACGCCAGCTTACTTCCGCTTCTTCAGTCACGAATCTCTTTATGATGATCGCCCATTTTGTTCTTTCATACGCTTCATCGAAGGAAAGAAGGAAGGAAGGAAGGAAGGGAGGGAGGGAGATAGAAGGAAGGAAGGAAATAAGGAATTAAGGGAGGGAGATGGTAGGAAGGAATGAATGAATGAAGGAAGGAAATAAAGAAATATTATAAGGAGATGGTAGGAAGGAATGAAGAAAGGAAGGAAGGAAATAATGGAGAGAGAGATCGAAGGAAGGAAGGAAGGAAGGGAGATAGAAGGAAGGAAATAAGGAAGGAGGGATGGAGATGGAAGGAAGAAATGAAGGAAGGAAATGAAGAGGGAGATAGAAAGGAAGGAAAAAATTCTTGAGGTGGAAAAAGGAAGGAAGGAAGGAAGGAAGGAAGGAAGGAAGGAAGGAAGGAAGGAAGTGAGGGAGATGGAGATGGAAGGAAGGAAGGAAGGAAGGAAGGAAGGAATTGAAGGAAGGAAGGGGGGATAGAAGGAAGGAGGAGGGAGATGGAAAGAAAAAAGTTTTCACCCTTGGAAAGGAAGGAAGGAAGGAAGGAAGGAAGGAAGGAAGGAAGGAAGGAAGGAAGTTTAAGGGGGATAGAAAAAAAGGAGGCAAGGAGATGGAAAGACGAAAAAGGAAGGATTTTTTGATGAAAAGGAAGGAAGGAAGGAAGGAAATAATGGAGAGAGATGGAAGGAAGGAAGGAAGGAAGGAAAGAAGGGAAGATGATAGGAAGAAGGAATGAATGAAGAAAGGAAGGAAAGAAGATAGGAAGAATATAGGAATGAAGAAACGAAGCGAGGGAAATAAGAAGGAATGAAGAAACGAAGGAAGGAAGGAAGGGAAAACCACGGGAAATTACTTATTTTATTTTCCAAGAACGCATGCAACTACGCAGAATGCCAAATAATTACAACCCAGTGCTATGAACTGACAAGAGAGTAGTGTTTCATGATGAAATCCAAAGAAGAATCTGCAATGTTATTGGTCTTGACCTGGCGTCATCCATCCACTTTCCCATCGATTCACGCAATTTCCCTAATTACCTTTTTCGTTCATGAAAAATTATTCAAGCCCCAACGAGGCTGGCATCCAATCTCACCCTTTCACTATTGAAAATCCCTAAATTTCCGTCTCCTCTAAAATGGCTTCAATTATCGCACCTCTATGTGGAATTCCTTCCCAATTCCAGTTTTCCCGTTGCTATAATCTCCAATATTCAAATGTAATTTCAATCGACATCTCCAGTTGCCTGGATCTATCCACTATCCTTCTCTTCATCTTTTCCTCTATCACTCCTATCTGATCTTGCTCCAAATCTTCTGTAATCCCTTGAGTCCTAGTGGCTTCCAGCCTTGTTTGGGGTGAAACGCTTAAAAAAAAAACTTTCCTCTAGGGTACCCTAAAAAAAAAAGCTTTCCTCTAGGGTACCCTGATTCAGCCTCAAAGAAATGCTGCAAAAAAAAGCACCGTTAGAAAATGTGATTAGTACCAATCTAATAAAGAGAGATGGATCGATACATGTTCGGGCACCCTCTGTAAATAATCGATAGATATGAGGATACAGAAAATCAGGTAGAGGGACATCGGTGAGTCTGTTACGAGAGATCGATTTATATAAATGAAGAAAGATCGTCTGAGAGAAACAGTTTTCTGGTTTCCATCAGCATGGCTGATGCTAACCCCTCAGGAAAAGGCTTCATTGCGCCTTTTCGGGCTAACCTTTTTTTCCCACTGACATGAAGCGGAAAGATTGTATCGAATCAATTACTCGGGCTTCTGATACGAAAGTTCGTTCTCCGTGTGGTGCTAGATCATTTTCTCTTGTCGGAAACTATCTTATATGTTTACAGGCTTACCATTCGTCCCTGTTGCCTCATATGGTCTAGTGCTTCCGCTATATACAAAAAAGATCCTTATTTAATTATTTATAAAGAAGAATCAAAATATTTTATTAAATGAAATGGCATCATAATTTTGTTGATTTCCCACCGCCATAATGTAGCTTCCTTGTCTTGTTATTTTTTTTTATAAATGTGTTCATGGCAAATGTTCTGATGAACTTTCTGCTATGGTACCTCGAGTTTCATGAATTTAGGCGCAGTACTAGTTTGGCAAGGTGGTGTAATGGATAGCGGCTCGATTGAAAAAACTTTGAAAATAATTCTTGAAAAGGGATCAAATATATTCATTTAAAATGCTTATACCCTTGGAAAAGGTATGAATCCTCGTTTCTCCTCTCATCAATGGGAAATAGCAGGACAGATGGGTTCTGTAGCCTTACAATGGCAGGTACACTATTGCGGAAAAAAATTACCTCGTCAGTCATGTATCGAAAGATAAATGATCGTTATAAGCATGTATTACGCATGGCACATAACAGACTAGTTTGGCAGCAAAGTTTCATCATTTCCCAGTAGAAAAGGCTAGATGTATCCGTAAGTTCTATGCTAACAGTTTCTTCCCTGTCAATTTTGATGTTCATAAATTTAAATGAATTATCAATCACTATCACCTCTTTTCTTAATTCTTGTTCTGATATAAAATTTCTCTTGAGAGTATATTTTTCCGTTTATTCTATCAAAACATATTTTAACCGTTTTATCTTAGTGGCCTTATTGCCTGTGAATGCTTATTTGTGAAATTTAATAAAAAGTCACAATTTTTTTTTAAATGCCATGAGGAGCGGAAATATTAATTCTACGCAAATATACCAAGAATGGATTCATTGAAAGAACAAATGTAATTTATACTTTATATTGAAAGTAAAATTTTGGGCACATAATGAGGAAAGAGGGTTTGGAAAATTTGATACTCACATGACAAATTAAAGGCACGAAGGACAGAGAAAAACGACTTATAACCCACCTAGGGAGCTTATGTCAATGGATGGCGGAAGGGTTTTTAAGAAGGGTAACAAAATTGGGTAAAAATTTATTAAGAACTAAAAAAAGACAGGAAATCGTGGAAAGTCTTGATCACAAACTTCCTGAATGGTCATGAATATATATATATATATATATATATATATATATATATATATATATATATATATATATATATATAAGCAAATATATGGATATAGATCCGACAGTATGAAGAAAAAATATGGAAAAACAAAAATCCGAATATGCAAGTATGCTGTTTTAATGTTGTTTCAATGTCGACGTCAGACGTTTCGGTCTAGTAGACCTTCTTCAGGACATAGTTATTAAAAACATAATTAAAATTAGACGATATTCAAGTCAACATGAAAAGACGATGGACATAAGACTAATCAAAACAGAATAACTGAAATTTTTAAGATCAGCGTTCCGTTTCACAATACGATCACGTCGGCGTCACGTGGGCGATGTTGTGAAAACGTATTCCTAAAATAGAGTATATTTTAAATGAAAAATAATTTTATTTTAATCTAAAATTTATAAGTACGTTTGTCGAGCATTAATCTTGCTAGAAAAGGGGAAATATTAAAGAAGCCGGGTCTAGTATTCACCGATATTATGCCTGCCTCATAAAACCGTCTAAGATTTTTATTATGAATATATTTTAAAATCTTCACAGAATCAACATCGAAATTATAATCAGATTTAGTTATGTGTACAAATAAAGCATTGTTTAAATTTCCGAGGCGAATATCTCGTTTATGTTCGAAAACACGAGATTTTACGGACCTACATGTTTCTAATGTTAATTATGTTTTAATAGCTATGTCCTGAAGAAGATCTACTAGACCGAAACGTCTGACGTCGACATTAAATTAACATTAAAACAGCATAATTGCATATTCGGATTTTTGTTTGTCCATATATTTTTCTTCATATATATATATATATATATATATATATATATTCATGAATTATTCATACAAAAAACAAATACAAAGGTTAATGATTTAATTGGCGAGAAATCCATCGTCGCGAACAATTCAAATAATGTACATATACCCCGAACCTGTTTATGAATGAAAAGATCCTTGTTTCTATAAATTCCTGCTGCATGAGTTCTTATTATTTTTACAAGCTTTCGTCTGTTCCTACAGACATCCTCAGGTATGGAATAGATTTTGTTCTTGTTTTTTCTCTCACTAATAAGAGGACAACGAAAATATATGTATTGTTGTAATCCGAAAAATGCAATTAGAAATGAGTTATTGTTTTTGGAGCGTGCAGTCGCAACGCTGAGTTTGAATTTAAATTTTACAATTGTGCGTTCTTGTACAAATATGGTGATAAGCGAATTCTTTTTTACTGGTAAATTTTCTGTCAAAGTGGCATGAACTTTATTATTCAATAAATTCCTAAATTCATAAATTTGTAAATTGATTGCACCTTTATTGAAATTAAAATAACTGATCTAAATGCAATTTTTGGATAATAAGTGCGACATTACTGTAATTATTGAACAATAAAGTTCATGCCACTTTGACAGAAAATAACTCATTTCTAATAGCATTTTTCGGATGATTTTATAATATATATATATATATATATATATATATATATATATATATATATATATATATATATTATGCCTTTAAATTCCTTAAGGAACCTAGTTTTTTTTTTAGTGAGTAGGTTGTTAGTCTACTGCACAACCCTCTTGAGGGTCAGGTCACCCAATGCTATTTACGCATATATTTCTTCGGTAGACCAGTTGCCATCCAAGGCTATAGAACCAGGTCTGTCCTTCTATTTACCCATAGCTGGGTCGGAGAAGAAGAGGATTAATACGTTTCCAAAGGGTATTAACACGTAGGTGAATGTAATTGATTCGACTGGAATTCGAAATCGTCTCTCCGATTCCATAATACGAGCCGGTATCCATTACTCGATCGTACATAGAAGAGAATTAATTCCGCAAGTGATTTCCCAGTTGGTGTCTTTGGGCATCGATTTGTCTCATATTAACAATCTTAGTGCAATGCCTAACTAATAATTCTCCCAGATACTTGGTCGAGGTCACGACCCGTATTGGATTTGGATTGGTGTTTTGATATGGAAGTATCCATCTAACAAAATGACGTTGCTGCAACGGTTCTGCAACCTTACAGAGATGTTGCAAAGACGTTTTATGCTGACTCACACTAGCAACGTTAACTTTACAAACAAGTCGCCTAGTGACTTTGAGTTAATAGAAAATCTACAATAAAAATCAAGAAAGTATTACAACATGCATTCATCAGCTACCGGGGTCGGCTAAAAATTTCATAGGATGACCAAGATACTCTCATGAAATTTGACTAAATGAGGGTTTTTTTTCAACATGCAGTTGCATTTGCAGTTCACACAATTCTTCCATCGGCCTTTGCAGTTCACACAATTCTTCCATCGGCGTTAAAGTACTTAGATACCACTGGTGAAAAAGCTTTCATCCTGTTCGTCAAAAAAAAGTCATCAACAGCAGATATATCATTGTCATCACTGTGATACTGGCTCCCAGGCAAGTGATTTTTTTCTTGTTGGGGAACAGATGACAGTCAGATACAGCCAAATGATCAGAATGGGGAGGGTGATCAACTAGTTCAAAGCAACAATCGCGAATAACAGACAGTGAAACCAAAGATATGTGCCGTGGAACATTGCCAAAAGGAAACAAGAACTCTTTCCTCAGTTTTCCTAGATGTTTGGTCGTGATAGACTTTCGTAACTTCCTCATCAAGTTGACATAGTATTCTCCAATGATAGTTTGGCTCTTTTGAAGATAAACACAATGCCATTTGCATCCCAAAACTGTGGACATCATCTTCCCTAGAGATGAAGCGGTCTTGAGATTCTTTAAGACAGATGTGGGGGGGTGATTCCACTGCATGTATTGTGCCTTTGTCTCTGGCTCAAAGCGATGAACTCATCACTCATTATGGGTTAGGTATCGTTCAATTAAACTACCGTATTTGACGGCATATATTTCTTTTTTTACTAAAATATCTTTTAAAATTTCCCTGCCATATTCAGGTTTAAAATTCTCGATAGTCGGCCGAAATTAGTTACCTGGCAACTCTTATTAGCTTAGACTTAAACATGAAGGTGTAAAGGAACACGTGGATGGCAATGCCTGATTACGTACTTACATTTACAGGAAGAATAAAAAGACCCAGCATTGCACAAATATGCGAATGGATGAAGCAAGTTTGGGATAATATTAAACCAGAAATTGTTGTGAAATCTTTTAAAAAGTGTGGCATTAGCAATGCTCGCAGTAGAACGAAAGATGACGCATTATTTAGCGACGATGACAGTAGTATTGGAAATAAGTATAAGAGTTTTGATAATGAAGACGACGAATTTTATGAATAAAATTTTAATGATAATTGGTACTGTTTTGCTCAATTGTAATAATTGCTTGATTTTTATTTTGTTTTCTTACCTTTGGATATAATAAAGTTTTCTATAGGTTTGTGTTCTTTTTTACTATTATTTTTCGTTTAATTGAAATCATGGCTTGTTTAACCAAAATAATAATACCTAATAATACCTAGGCTGTACTATTTACTAATAATTTTACTAATTTTCCTAATTACTAAATTTTTTCTTGATTTTGCCTGCTGAAATCGGGGTGCGTCTTATACACCCGTGCGTCTTATATGTCGTCAAATACGGTAAATCGGAGTAAAAATAAAAAAAAAAATAGAGGGTCAAATAAAAACTGTAGTGAAAGAAAGAAAACGAAGTCTAATGAAAGAAAAAATAACAAAAAAAAAGAAAAATGTATATATATATATATATATATATATATATGTGTGTGTGTGTGTGTGTAATTCAAACATATACAAGGAATAGCCGAAGAAGAAGAGAGAGAGAGAGAGCGAGAGAGAGAGAGAGCGAGAGAGAGAGAGAGAGTGAGAGAGGGAGGGAAAGAAAGAATGAATGTGAAAAAGAGGGAAGTAAATAAGGAAGATGAGAAAATTATGCAAAATAGATTATGGGGAGAGTGGAAATGAAAACAATGAAGGAATGTAAAAAACAAAAAAAGAAAGAGATTTAAACAAGGAAAAAGAATGTTAAGTAAAGTTTGAAGAAGAAAGAAAGCAAAGAATCCTATTTTGAAATGAATAATTGGACATGAAGAAAGACACTGTACATTGAAAGAATTAACACATTATGAAATGCAAACGGAAGTTAAAGTAGAAAGAAAGAAAAAATTAAACACTTAAAATATTGAAGGAAATAAAAAAATATCTAATAAACTTAAAACTGTGAAGAAAGAAATTAAATTTCTTGATTTTGCCTACGGAAATTGAGGTGCGTCTTATACACCCGTGCGTCTTATACACCCGCGCGTCTTATATGCCGTCAAATACGGTAGTAAGATCTCGATCCGCTTGGTGCGATCATGATCATGTTTCAGAAGACATGACACCCACCGAACAGAAGTATTCGTCATGCCAAATCAATATGCCCTATATATTTTTTTTAATCCTCTCACGGGGAATGCTAATACCACTAGCTATTTGACTTATAGTCTATCACTATGTGCTGAACATGATAAATGTTTATCTTAAGGGTGGCAATTGCAGGACATCCCCTCAGTCGCCCCGTTTGCACTGCTTCTAAAGCCGGAACATCATCCCTTCAGGTAGCAATAAATTCATTGTAAAAAAAAATTGGAATCAATTATCAAATTTATACTTTGAGAAACTTTTGCAACGAATGCTAAAAAATTATGCTGCAGTATTCTATGCTGAAGGAGGATATTTTGACGAGAGCAAAGTTGAATTATAAAATGTTTTTCTTTTTGTCATAATAACATTTCTAATAAAAAAAAATCATGTCTCACTTCTTTTTTTAACCATGTATCTTAATTTTCAGGGCGACTATAATATCTACCGTCCATTTTCTCACTGTAACATGATATCTATTATTGATTTTCTACTATAGTATGGTATTTACTGACTGTTGGCAGTCTGGAATATGTTAGGATTAGCGTTAGTGGTTAGTGGTTAGGGTTAGAGTTAGTGTTTAGGGTCAGGGTTAGGGTTACCAATTAGGGTTAGTGTCAGGTTTAGTGGTTAGGGTTAGGGTTAGTGGTTAGGGTTAGGTTTAGGGTTAGTGGTTAGGGTCATGGTTAGTAGTTAGGGTTAGGGTTAGTGGTTAGGGTTAATGGTTAGGGTTAGAGTTAGTAGTTAGGCGTAGGTTTAGGGTTGGTAGTTAAGTTTAGTGGTTAGGGTTAGTGGTTAGGGTTAGGGTAAGGGTTAGGGTTAGGGTTAGTGATTAGTGGTTAGTGTTACGTTAATTGCTTAGGGTTAGTGTCAGTTGTTAGTTTAGGGTTATGGTTAGGGTTCAGGTTAATGGTTAGGCTTAGGGTTAGTTGTTAGGTTTAGTGGCTAGGTTTCGGGTTATGGTTAATTGTTAGGTTTAGGGCTATGTTTAGGGTTAATTGTTAGGTTGAGGTTTAGGGTTAGTGGTTAGGTTTAGGGTTAGGTTTAGGGTTAGTTGTTAGGTCGAGGTTTAGGGTTAGTGGTTAGGTTTAGGGTTAGTGATTAGGCTTAGTGCTAGGGTTAGGGTTATTGGTTAGGTTTAGGGTTAGGTTTAGGTTTAGTGGTTTGTGTTAGGGTTAGTCTTAATGTTTAGGTTAGGGTTAGGGTTAAGTGTTAGGGTTACGGTTAGGTTTAGTGGTTATGGTTAGTGTTAGGTTTAGAGTTTGGGTTAATGGTTACGGTTAGGTTTAATGATTAGTGTTAGTGTTTGGTTTAGGGTTAGTGGTTAGGTTTAGGATTAGTGGTTAGGGTTAGTGTTTTTGTTAATTTTATGTTTAGTGGTTAGGTTTAGGGTTAGTGGTTAGGTTTCGGATTAGGTTTATGTTTATGTTTAGTGGTTACGGTTAAATGCAGTGAACAGTGATCTGGTTATTTATTTAAAATCATTTACAATTTTTTATACAAAATTTAAAAAAAATATCATCAAATAGTGATTTTAATGTTTGTAACCTGATTTGATGTCATTTAAAAAAAACAATAAACAGGTTATCGTTTTTCCTGTGCATTTTTTAGCAATATATACCGCAACGTCATTTATGGTAGGTCGTAAATCGTCGATAGGTATCATAATCTTTTAGCACCTAATTTTCTTGCCAGTGTTTAGAGTTAGGGTTAGGGTTATTGGTTACGATTATGGGTTAGGGTTAACATTAGTGTTTAGGTTTAGTGTTAGGATTAATGTTTAGGTTAGGGTTAGTGTTAGGGTTAATTGTTAGTGTTTGTGGTTAGGATTAGTGTTTAGGGTTAGGTTTATGGTTAGGGCTAGTGGTTAGCGTTAGGGTTAAGATTAGTGGTTAGAGTTAGGTTTAGTATTTAGGTTAGGGTTTGTGTTAGTGGTTAGTGTTAGGTTTATGTTTATGTTTAGGGTTAGCGTTACTTGTTAGGGTTAGTTTATGGGTTAGGTTTACTCTTTAGTCTTAGTGTTAGAGTTAGTGTCAGTTGGTAGTAGTTTGTCTTAGTTTAGTGGTTAGAAATAGGGTTAATGTTTATTGTTAGTGTTTATGTTTATCGTTAGTGGTTAGGGTTAGTGGAGTTTGGAAATGTTAACAGAAAGCAGTACAGGATCCTCAGATTGTGAATTCCATTTCTTTTTTCTTGTAGGCTAGGGTTAATATTACCAGTATCAGATTTAATTATTACCACTCAAATTCCCTTCTTGGATTTCCGGTAAATACATAGAAAGTGTTGTCAATAATCTCAAGAAATGTATAGGAAAGATTTGAAAAATATATAGAATACGAAACAGTAGTAGTGAAATCAGGCAGCGTTTTTCTTGACAACGCCTTACGCCTTCCTTAGATAAGCTTCTTCAGGTTAGAATGAGAACTGTACAAAGCAGCCACAACTAAAATACGGTGATACCGCGGCTTATGTCATTTCGAGTTCAGTCATTTTCGAAGATACGTCGGTTTTTCTTAAATATTATATGGAAAAATAAAACTCGACTTACGTCGCTTTACTCGAGTTTACGTCGGCTATTGAAAACATTAGAAACGTCAATGCATTAAAATAACAGTAAAAACATACCATATTTAAATAAACTTAAATTATGCATATTACACACACACACACACATATATATACATATATATTTATATATAGAGATATAATAAAAAAATATATATATATATATTTATTTATTTATATTCCTCAAAAATATATATATATATATATATATATATATATATATATATATATATATATATATATATATTTTCTTTTTAAATTATAAGATAAATATGTTATAAAATCAGTGCAAAATAGTCATTTTTTTTCAACACCTCCGATGTCTTACCAAGTGATGATGTTGAAGGTAAAATAATTGATTTATTTTACATTCAGCATCATCACTTGATAAGACAACGGAGGTGTTGAAACAAAATGGCTATTTTTGTAGTGATTTTATAACATATTTATGTTATATTTTTTTTTTAAATAAATAATTTTATGTGCTCCACTTTGTATTGAGCACTATTTTAAGAATATAATTGTTGGTTATTGGAATTCATTCCGTATACACCAATTATATACTTGATATATATATATATATATATATATATATATATGTGTGTGTGTGTGTGTGTGTGTGTGTGTGTGTGTGTGTGTGTGTGTAATTAAAAAAGTATTTACAGCAGCTGTTATTTCAAATTCCTGCCAACAGGAGTCACTTGTGCGTTTTTTCCGCTCCAACACCGATTTTACTTACATCTGTGCTCTGCCGTACACGTTCTTTCATTATTTCATTTAGGATTTAGAATACTTTTTCCACCATGATTCCGAAGAAAAGTCCCAGTGCATGTGTCTATGTGAGGCCGAGCTGTCGGCCCGTGGTCAAAGCCCAGTGGCGGCCCGAAGCTTTAATGTTTCTTCCACCGGCGTTTTGGGGTTGACTCTTAGTCGCTGCCACCAGCCTGTGTCCCGGTCGTTCGATGGTCGTCACTACTCGGCGAAATCACCTGGTCAGGATACCAATATGTGCTACTGGCCGCTCCTGGGTCGAATTATCCGTTCAGTGCCAGCTCTATCGTTCCCAGCTCACTTGCAACGTCTGGGTCTTAGTGTAAGCTGAGTCCAGACTGAAGGTGATATCGCACAAGCGTAAAGAAAAAGAAGTAAATAAAAGAAAATACCCAAAAGGCTCAAGTATATTAAGAAATAACAAATTAACTTTATCCGTCTGTTATATACAGGAGTGTGTTTCTCTCCCAGCCTTTTTTCTGTGGATTCGTGACACTTTTATGTTTCATATATATATATATATATATATATATATATATATATATATATATATAGCACTTTCTATCTGTTCATATCTATCTATCTATCTATCTATCTATCTATATTTTTGTCTTTTTATTATTATCTATCTATCATCTATCTATCTATCTATCTATCTATCTATCTTAGCCTTTTCATTATCTATCTATCTATCTCTCTATCTATCTATCTATCTATCTTAGTCTTTTCATTATCTATCTATCTATCTATCTATCTATCTATCTATCTATCTGCACAAACAAATTTCCCGGATCAGGAACACTGAATTGCCTGGTGCAATTCAGAGAAAAACAATTAGCAGATTAAAATAAGAAGTTAAATTAAAAGAATGCAAAATTGATGACGTTGGTGGTGTTGGTGGAAATTAAAGCCCCCCAAAAAAAAAAAAGTAGAAGTAAATTCGGAAGAGAAAACAGGAAGAGGAATTATAAATAGAGAGGGACAACGTGAAAATGTAAAGCTGCAAAAGATGGCGAGGATAAAAGCGACAAAATGGAGACGACAAGAACGAAGACGATAAACGAGAAAGAAAAAAGGTTAGGATTAAAGAAAAACGGAAATCAATGTCGGAGTAAAAGACGTCAAAGAAATCAAAGAAGAAAAAGAAAGGAGAATGGAAAAGGAGGATAGGGTAAACTGAAAAGTGTTGGGAGAAAAAAAAGAATATGACCGAGAGGGAAGAAGAAGAAAAAGAAGAAGATGTCGGAGAAGAAAAAGAAATCGCGTAAGTAGAAATACAAGAAAACAAAGAAAATGATGAAAAAGAAGAACTCAAATAAGAAGAAGAAGAAAATAAAGAAGGAGGAAAAGAAGATGAAAAGAAAAAATCGAATAAGCACAATATAGAGGAAGATGAAGAAATCGAGTATGTAGAAATAGAAGAAAAGAAGAAGAAATGAGGTACGTAGAAGAAGAAGAAAAAAGAAGGAAAAGAAGAAAATGAAAAGAAGAAATCGAATAAGCACGGAATAGAGGAAGATGAAGAAATCGAGTGTGTAGAAGAAGAAGAAGAAGAAGAAGAAGAAGAAGAAGTAGGTTATGTAGAAGAAGAATAAGAAAAAAGAAGGAAAAGAAGATAAAAAGAAAAAATCGAATAAGCACAAAATAGAGGAAGATGAAGAAATCTAGTATGTAGAAATAGAAGAAGAAGTAGAAGAAGAAGAAGAAGAAGAAGAAGCTGAAGAAATGGGGTACGTAGAAGAAGAAGAAAAAAGAAGGAAAAGAAGAAAATGAAAAGAAGAAATCGAATAAGCACGGAAGATGAAGAAATCAAGTATGTAGAAGAAGAAGAAGAAGAAGAAGCCGAAGAAATGGGGTACGTAGAAGAAGAAGAAAAAAGAAGGAAAAGAAGAAAATGAAAAGAAGAAATCGAATAAGCACGGTATAGAGGAAGATGAAGAAATCGAGTGTGTAGAAGAAGAAGAAGAAGAAGAAGAAGAAGTAGGTTATGTAGAAGAAGAACAAGAAAAAAGAAGGAAAGAAGTTAAAAAGAAAATATCGAATAAGCACAAAATAGAGGAAGATGAAGAAATCGAGTATGTAGAAATAGAAGAAGAAGTAGAAGAAGAAGAAAAAGAAG